AATATATATATATATATATATATATAAGGTTAATTGTTGGACAAACTTGCCCCTGATTAAGAAAAAGCTTGGACAAAATATTCAAGCTTTCCTGCTTTAGAAATGCATTAAGGAAGTTAAAGGTTGCATTGTCAATTTATGTAGCAGTAGGTCCAATGCATCAAATTAATTATGCAGCAGCAAGTCCAATACTTCATATTTTCTTAGCATAAACAATGACAAACTACCATGAACATAATCAATAGCCTATGTTGAAGAAAGACTATGTTTTCCACAAAATGTCATCTTCCACACTTTTCCATGCATATCATAAGGGCCCAAATTTAATACCCCTGTTTTTTACAGTGATCGATTCTCATATACATAGAAAATTATCACACACTTGCTTCTTACACAAGTTTCTTACACAAACGTCATACCTTGCAAGGTAACCAACATCAGAACTAAAAAAAAATATGTAAGTAGATATCCAAAAAAATGTGTAATTACATATCAAAAAATCAATTAGATATCAAATTAAAGGTCAATCATTGTTGCTTCTCAGCCACGGTGCTTTGAGTGTTACACATACTCATTGGGGAGTTACTTCGGCCCTTTGACAGTGACGCTCCTGTACCAAAACATAAAAGGAAAACAACTCAATAATATTTGGAGCATCTGAGAAAGCAATTTTCATGTAATAGATTATATTATTAAAATCATTTTTAAAACAATATTTCACAAGTTGGAGCTAAGTAACTAACTAACACAAAATCGTTCATAATCATTAACCTTGAGTCATCAAAGTATTAAAGAAACAATAAATAATACTTCAATTAGCTTTAAAACCTAAACTCACAACTATAAAATATAATTGATCGTACCTAGCATAATTACGCCTATCATGACCTATGACTCCCCAACCACCACACTTTATCTTAATTGTTCTCTCTTTGTACCAAGGTTTGATTCTCAAATGGGTAGGTGGTCGTCCCTTCGGCTTTGCACAAGTTGGAGCCTTGATAGTCACATATGGATTGGAAGCCCCGAAGAGGATGGGATCCACACAAAAGGCAGGTGTTCTTAAGGACGTAGGGCTACTAGGGGTAGGAGAGACTTGTTTTATGGAAGCTTTCTCCTTGTCCACTCTAGCAGCAACCTTGTCGCATGCCTCATCTATAACCATCTTTGAGTATTCATATACACTAGGACTCATGGCTCATTAGCTAATAG